TCGCAGATATCCTTGTATTGCAGTTGTGATCTCCCTCTGGGGCACTTTCCCTGCACTAATTCTCCATACAGGAGATCTTTTGGTATCCAACCATCAGCCATTCTCATGACATGCCCAAGCCAACATAGACATCACCTTTGGAATAGGGGGAAATGATATTTTATTCCCCGTGTCCCTGAAAATCCAGGAGATTTAGGCCAGTGAGGCTTGGCTCCACAACACCACTGTTCCTGTGCTTCTTCTTGGGGTGGAATGCATCACCTTTCTTTCTTTGCATTTGGGGTGGGGCTAGAAAGTAGCAGAATATTTAAGCCAGGTCACCTGGCAGCATCACCTATAGTAGATGCCTCCCTCTCTGCATCACTAAGGAAGGATTGATGTTCTTCTATGGAAAACTTATAACGACCAGATAGGCGGGATATAAATAGAATAAAAGAAATGAATGAAAACTTCTCTGTTAAGAATTTGTAAGTAGGCATATTGAAGGTTTAGGAAAGCATGCATTCAATAATGGGCCAGTAGAGACATCCAAAGGACAATATATAGAACCAAAGCTAGAGAATTGCTATATCAGAAAAAAAGGGCCATATAATGAGTAATCTAAATTGGCATTCCTTTGAACTTTCTTTCCCAGGATGTCCCTTTAATCTTAGGAAGGAGCCGAAGTATTTTATTGTTTTTAACATACCTTCGTTAAAAGTCAGGAAGACCTAGGTTTCTCAGGCACTGGCTTGTTTTCCCATGGTTCACTGAGGAATACTATTGCTGTAGTTGGCGTTTGCTGTACCTATGGAATTCATTGGCTATTTTATATATATTTATTAAATCCTAATAGATATGGCTAGGTTTCAAAGTTGCCATGAGGGAAATCTCCACACCTCAGCTTTGCTGCTCTGCAGTGCCTTAGTGATGGACAGACCATTAAAAGCAAAAAAGATCGGTGCAACCCAACGGGGGAACCAGTTTGGAACCAGCAGGGTCTGTTTTTTTAAATAACTGCTGCCTCAGGCTAGGTTGCTTTGTCTAAGCAATTTACCTGTTAGAGTCCTTCTCCGTATTCTGATTTCGGCAAACAAGCTCGGTGCCTGAGGCTCCATTTTGGACCCAGCTGCTTACCTGTTGTAAAATCCATCCCCTGTCTCTGGCGTGTCAACGTTTCAATTGCCAAATTTGAACAACCTCCTGCCTCTCTTGGACTACATTGCTTCCCTACAGCCTACTTAGATAATAAGTGTGTGCCGTCAAGTCATTCCTGACCTACGACAACCCTTTTGAGGGTTTTCCAGGTAGAAAATTGAGTCTACAGTTGCTGAGGAGGGCAGTTGACGGCTGGACTTTTTGGAGATTGATCGTTGGTAGGGTCACCATAGGTCAGAGGTCACTTGATGGCACTGACTTCCAGGAAGAAAAACCTCCAGAACATGGCCAAACAGCCCAAAAAACCTACAACAACGATCGGATCCCAGCCATGAAAGCCTTTGAGAATACAACTTTAGTACACTTGACTACACCAAGCAACAGGGTTTCGGCCAGTATTACCTTCAGTGACTGATAAGTACAGTGTTTTTCCTTGCCTTTTGTGATGCCAAAGGAAACATGGACAGAATTATAGTTGAAGGGTTGTTTTGAAAGGAAATAGCTACCCAGAGTGATGAACAACTACTATAAGAAAGAAGACAGAAGTGCCTAAATATTTCATTCCAAATGTTCAAGATTATCGAAAATAATCCAGTGACAATAATATGAACGACAAATACTTATTGCAGTGTATACTTTCTCCATCTCTCCTTCTCTCCTGTTATGCTAAATTCTGAAATTTGTTTGAGGAGATGGGTCTGCAAACAATACAGCCCTTGAGAGTCCCCTGGACTGCACGGAGAACAAACCGATCCATTCTGAAGGAAATCAACCCCGAATGCTCCCTGGAAGGACAGATCCTGAAGCTGAGGCTCCAATACTTTGGCCATCTCATGAGAAGAGAAGGCTCCCTGGAAAAGACCCTGATGTTAGGAAAGGGTGAGGGCAAGAGGAGAAGGGGACGACAGAGGATGAAATGGTTGGACAGTGTCATCCAAGCAACCAACATAACTTTGACCCAACTCCGGGAGGCAGTGGAAGAAAGGAGGGCCTGGCGTGCTCTGGTCCATGGGGTCATGAAGAGTTGGATATGACTAAATGAATAAACAACAACAACAAAACAAATTGAGGAGGGCTAGAGGGATTAAGAAAGCTAGTAATTCCTAGAGGGTGCAATTGACAATTTTGAAATGAATGGAACATTAATTAATTTTTAAAAAATGTGTCAGGGATTGTGGGAGCTTGCAGGCTCTGCTGTGCTCACGCTTATTCTAGTTAGATAGTTCTGTCCTCTTTGGCTTTAAATATCTTGTTTATCATGAAGCTCAATGTATGACTTTAGGCTAGATAACTCAATTGCAGTCCAGTCCTTAAATATAAACTAGCTTAGATCTGAAAATATTTCTATACTGCCTTTCAATGAAACATCGCTTGTAGGGTGGCCATGCCAGCAGTGTCCCCATTCCTTGATATTCAAGGAATATCCAGAGCATAAAGCCAGTGGGTGGGCCTCCCTGATGTCACAGGAAGCAGGACTTTTATCATGTCAATTTTAATCTAAGCCCTAATGCAAGGCTTGTTCAACAGTAAAGCTCATGAGTTGAAATGCTGGTGCTCCGTGGAGTGCTTGGTCCATATAGCATGATAAAGACAAGTGCAGTCACCCACTTCCTCACTCCCCAGTCCCTCATCCCTTGACACTGAACAAAAGCAATCACTATACAAAAAGATCCAAAAGAGCACTTTTTCTGGGGCTGCTCACGGATTATGGAACTCTATTCTTCTAGAGGTTTGGCTGACCCCTTCCCTCATCTTCTTCCATGAGCAACTGAAGACCTCGTTCTTTAATGGGACCTTTGGAGCAACTGAGATGGGGAGGTTTAATGGGATTTTAAAACCTGTTTTATAGTTTTTAAACTGGTTGTATGACTCAGAGATTTAGGCATCTGGCTGTGGAGCCAGAAGTTGGGAGTTCAATTCCCCTACAAGGAGAGCCAGCCTATGTAGCTAAGGGCAAGCTGCACAGTTCCAGGGTGGCTGCAAAAGAAGGGAATGGTCAACCACTTCTGAGTACTCGCTACCTAAAATACCCTGAAAAGGTTTGCCATGCTGATGGTGATGATGATGATGATCATCATCATCATCATGGTGATGATTATGATGATCGTGATCATGATGATGGTGGTGGTGGTGGTGGTCATGATGATGATGGAGATGATGATCCAAAAATACCAGGCACAGTCAATCAAAATTATGAAAACATTGATTATAACAGGATCAAACTTTAACTAAAAAAATAAGTATCTGTTCAATATCAATGTACTACATATGCTGTTCCTAATATTGCCGTTTTTCGTAGATCCGGTGATGTTATTTCAGAAATCTGCAACTGTTTATAATATGGTGTGAAATTTCTTGATATTGTTCCCAAAGCTTTTGTTGTCGTTACAGTTTTAAATAATGTTTTTAAAATAAATTAAAAAAAAAAACACATAATTTGTGGGTTTTAAAATATTTTCTTGCCAGAAGAGAAAGGCAGGATAAATAACAACCGCATAGCCCTGGTGCTAGCTGGGACAGAGTGGAGGTGCGTGCTTGGGTGTTAAAGTCACTCATTCACAAAAGGGAACATTTATTCTCCCCAGGAGTGGTCGTACTGAGATCTAGAGACATCGTCCTTCATCACTGGCAATATCTGATTTAAATGGATTGAAAGCTTCCGCCTCAAGTTGCAAGGCTCCCTAGGGCTCCCTTTTCCCTGGGGATGCCTTTGGGTTCCTTGAGAACCAAGTGGGGAGGGAAGAGACTTTAATCACTGCCGGCAATCCTGATCCCAGACATTAGTGATCCAGCAGTGATTCTTAGTAATTAAACATCCAATCTCCAGCCCGAGGCTCCCAGAGACTTCCCAAGAGCAAAGGGGAGCCCTAGGATACCTTAGAACCTGAAATGGGAGAGGGGAGGAAGTTTTCGATTCATTTAAATTGATTATTAATGGTGACAGGTGATGATTTCATCTAGCTGGACAGTGTAACTTTGTGCTAATAAGATTTTGACCACTGAATTAAAACAACGTAAAAACTTCACAGTAGGAACCACATGTTGGCCATTTCTTTGCATTTCTACCTATGCAATTATTGACCACTGAATTAAAACAACGTAAAAACTTTACAGTAGGAACCACATGTTGGTCATTTCTTTGCATTTCTACTTATGCAATTTTTTGTGTGTGTGTGTGTTCCTCTCTCTCTCTCTCTCTCTCTCTCTCTGTGTGTGTGTGTGTGTGTGTGTGTTTAGAGACAGATGTGCAAGGTTTATTTGATAAATCAGTTCATTTGTCCATGGAGCATCAATTTAATTTGGCAGGATGTTAGAGTTGCAAGCACACAGAGCTATTTGGGTTCTGACATGTTAACTGCATTAATCTTACAACTGCAACACTAGAAGGATTATCAACACTATGGATTGGGTTCTGACATGTTAACTGCATTAATCTTAGAACTGCAACACTAGAAGGAACCCTATGGATTATCAAGTCCAGTCCCTGTCAAGGAGACACAGAGGGGGGAATCAAACTCTCAACCTCTGTCTCAGCTGCCAGGGACCTCAACCGGTGAGCTGTCCAGCAGTCAAAAGAACACAATTGTTAATTATCCTAAGACTGAATGGGAGCATCTGCTTTCTGAATGATTAAGTCATCTTAAGCTTCCTTCAGTGCCTCAAAGAAGTTTCTACTGTAAGATTTGGTGGTCTGAAATATATCCAACTTAATTGGTTTGAGCGTACATGAGGGATCAACTTTTATCTTATTGCTTTGCAGTCCTAATTTATATAGGTTTTTCCATACCTACATACATTTACATCTGAGTGTATCTTTATCTTCAGTGTAGCTGTATCATTTGTTGATGTTCTGTTTCTTCCAGACAGCTGCTCAAGCAGTTTTATTTATGTGCATGAATACTGCTGGGATCTTCATCAGCTACCTTTCCGATAGAGCCCAACGCCAGGCCTTCCTTGAGACTCGAAGATGTGTTGAAGCTAGGTTGAGGCTGGAAACAGAAAACCAGAGGCAGGTAAGGTAACGGAAGCCATCTGTAAAGTTCTCCTTTGTGCCAACCTCTCTAATCTTGTTTATACTTTGTCCTTGTTTTAGCTGTCCCGGAAGGGCTATGTTGTCCATCAGGAAGGAATAGTGTTTTGTTGCTATTGTCTAGCTTTCGCAAATCCCGTAACCCTTGATGACAATTCAAAAAGGCTGCTTCCTAAAGACTGGAACGCCCAGAATTCCCCAGCTACCAGGCCAACGTTTGTGCCAACCTCTCTAATCTTGTTTATACTTTGTCCTTGTTTTAGCTGTCCCGGAAGGGCTATGTTGTCCATCAGGAAGGAATAGTGTTTTGTTGCTATTGTCTAGCTTTCGCAAATCCCGTAACCCTTGATGACAATTCAAAAAGGCTGCTTCCTAAAGACTGGAACGCCCAGAATTCCCCAGCTACCAGGCCAACGGCTGTATTTTCAGGAAGGAATAGTGTTTTGTTGCTATTGGCTGGTTTTCGCAAATCCCATAACCCTTGATGACAATTCAAAAAGGCTACTTCCTAAAGACTGGAACTCCCAGAATTCCCCAGCTACCAGGCCAATGGCTGTATTTTTCCATGTATAAGACACCCCCATGTATAAGATGCCCCCCACTTTTCTAACCCAAAAGTAAGAAATCTAAGTGGGACTTAGCAAGTGTAGGGGAAAAGGGATCAAAACCCTGCAGGGTCACTTAGATCCCTGCTCGAAAGGGATCAAAACCCTGTAGGATCACTTAAATCCCTACTCTCACTTCCACTTGTTTTTGTTCTCTCCTCAGCTTACTTCTGTGTATAAGATGACCCTCAATTTTTATTCTAAAGATTTTAGACAAAAGTATTGTCTTATACGCGGAAATATATGGTAAATTTTCTAAGCTCTGATTCAACTCTGCATCATTTCACAAGGAAGTTGTTCTAATGCCTCTGTCCAAACCTCGACTTACACCTGCACAATGCTATTAGCACAATTTGCTTATTTTCATTTATTTGTTACATTTATAGTATACACCATCCTTCTTCCCATCAGGTCAAGATGGCACAGCTATTAGCACAATTTGCTTATTTTCATTTTTTTTTTGTTCCATTTATAGTACATCCCATCCTTCTTCCCATTAGGTCAAGATGGCACATACTGGTTGTTGTGGGTTTTTCGGGCTCTTTGGTCGTGTTCTGAAGGTTGTTCTTCCTGACGTTTCGCCAGTCTCTGTTGGTGGCATCTTCAGAGAACAGCATGGCCAAAGAGCCCGAAAAACCCACAACAATCATTAGATCCCGGCCGTGAAAGCCTTCGCGAATACATGGCACATATTCTTGTGCTTCTTAATTTTTCCTCACCACAAGTTTGTGGGGTGGGACAAGCTAAGAGATTGCAACTAACCTGTAGTCACCCAGCCAAATTTGTGTCAGTGAAGATTCTCATACTATCCTGTCCCTTTTGATCGTCCAAAGTGTTTTCATTCCCAGTGCAACACTCTCATCTTTTCCATAGATTATAACACAATCCCCAGATAAAAGAGGTGTTGAGGGGGAAATTGCTTCTCTTCTTTACAATATCTGTCATGCTATTGGTTCTTTTTACTGAGCAGCTAACAGTCCTGAGCAAACTTTAAGGCATAAGGAGAGGCTGGAAGCATTTATTTTAATCAGGTATCGCACAACTGTGCAAAATTCTTGCAGCTTTTTCCATAGCTTCTGTGCACACATGGGTGTGATATAACAGTAACATTTAGAACTGTCAAATTGAATTGTGTGTCAAATGAAATTTACCTCATGAGCCATGGCCAGGTTTCTCACTTCCAAATCCCTGTGAGTAAGAAGCCCATTAGCACTGGCATTCAATGCTTGTGTCCCGTGAAAAGCTTCCTTAGAGTTCATCTTCCTAGAATCTGAGGCGTTTGCTTAGTGAAATATACTGTGGATTTTCTGTACTTGGAAACAGAAAGGCCAATTTTTTCATTTGTGTGAGGGAAGACAGGTAAGACTTGGCAGCAAATGGCCTCTTATTAATCAGGCTTATTAATAGAAATGCAACCAGCACCTTGTTAATGAGCAACCAACAATTTCTCTCTAAACTTCTGCAGTTTCCCCTATGCAGTTGGAAAATAATAGCAGGATTCTAGCCATTGAAGCAATCCCATGTTTCAGTAAATTTATCAGTCTTTTCTGTTCCTTTGTCAATCTATGTGTTTATTTCTCCGACAGTTCTATTCCTCGTATCTTTTCTGGACACACACTAGCATTTATATTCTCTCAAACCTCCCAGTGTACTGCTATCATGAGCTGTGCCTCTACTAATGTAAATGAAATTATAGCATATGCATTGAGGGTGAACAGCCAGAGGTGACCAGATGTGGCTGGACTGCAGTCCATTTCCATTAGTTATGATGTGCAGGGCTGAGAGTGCTGCAGTACAGCAGCATTTAGAAAGCCATAGGTTACCCACCTCGTTGGGTTTTGGAGGATACAGTGGGAGAAGGAGAGCAATGTACATTGCTTTATGTTCATTGGATGAAATATGACATAGAAATGAAATGAATACTGTATGAATGAGTGAATGGATGGATGGATGGATGGATGGATGGATGGATGGATGGATGGATGGATGTAGCAAGCCTGATAACCAGTTTAATGGATTTATGACTACACACATATCCATTCTTACATCCTTACAGTGACAAGTGTGCTGTCAACAATTTCTTCATGGTTGGGCTGCTTGAAGAGTTCTTAGTCATGTGACCAATTAAGCAACGGACATCAAATAGCACAACCATTCCTGCAGCGTCACTTGTATGCAGGAAAATCCCCAACAGGATGCTGTGCCATGACTCTTAGAATTTGGTGTGTTTTGAGGTGAAAGACAAAGACAATAAGGATTTTCAGGCTGATGCCGAGCTCACAAAATGTGGCCTTTATCGTTCCTTTCTTGACTACGGCCTAGAGATGGGCACAAAATGAATCACGAAGCAACCCCCCCACAGACACACACACAAATCAGCTGTTTCATGGTTCATTTTGTGGTGGTTCAGGGAAACACTCGTGCCCAAAACAAAACAAGACACTGAATGGTTACTGGCATCAGTGACTTGTATGTGGGCTATAACTCCGATAGCGCAAATCCAATTTTTACCAAACATGGACTGATTCTTGGGTTGACTCTCCTACACCTCCCCCTCAAAGTCTAGCAAATATCAGATTTGGGATGTACAATTTATAGCTCCCCCCCCAAAAAAAGAGCAGGTCCCCCAGGACAGTTTTCTTCAGCCAGCATTTTCCTGGAGTGACCAGCTTTAAGGGGCTATAACTCAGATGTCCCAAATCCAGTCTTTGTCAGACTCTCTGCAAGCTTGACGTCTCTAACTCAATTCTACAGCTCTTGGGAGTCCCAAATTGTACAAAATGGTTCATTTTGTTGGAAAGGTTGTGGATGTAGTTTGCGGTTTGTGACTAGTAATGAACCACGAACCGTCACGAACTGCCATTTTCCTGGTTCATGCCCATCTCTGCTAAGGACGCAGACCATCCTTCCCAGAGCACCACCACAAGCAGGGCGAACAAAGCCAGGGGGTGGATTATCTTAGTCCCTGACCTTCTAACAAACCTGGCTTCACTCCATGAATGGATCTGCCATAAACATTACATCAAGTATTCTCCTCTCAACAGTCTGTTGTATACATGACAGATGCCATAACTGCTCATTGAACAGAAGACTTCCAGAAATAAGAATGTGAGTCATACCACTTCAAGCTACAATACAGGACCTCGTGTATATCTCTCTCTTCCATCAGTCAGACAGAGAACATGAGGTTTAGCTTCTTATCCTGCTTCTCAAAAGACGGTGGTGTGTAATAAGCACCACTGACCCGGGTGGTGGGGGAACCATAATTGAGTTTTCTAGGTGAAGTTTGCCAAAAGGAGCAAAATGGATCTTGACATAGTCTTCCATGTGTGAAGAGGCTTCTCTCTCTGGAGTCTCGCCTCAGAAGTGATGCTTACTTATGTTCTTAAGTTAAGAGGCAAGTGTGCTAAGAGATGTGTATGAAGTGGCCTCAGCAGTGAGAAGCACAGGAGGAGGGAAGAAAGCTGCTAAAAGGGTATAATTGTTGTAATCCCATTTTTACCCCCCCAAAGAGATTGGCTTTGAAGGAGGGGTTCCTTCTCTCCCCCTCAGGATTGCAATGATTAAAGCCAGCCCCAAACACTTTGCTTCTTGGAAACAGAGGCTGAAAAAGCTGACTGGGGAAAATTCTGGAAGCTGTAAAAAGAAAAAGCATAACGTGCTGCTTATATACTGCCCCATAGCGCTCAAAGCACTCTGTGGATGGTTTACAAGTTAATTATGCAGGCTACACATTGCCTACCCAGCAAGCCGGGGGACTCATTTTACTTGGAAGGATATAAGGCTTGAGCCTGCTACCTGGGATTGAACCCTGGGCCGTGAGCACAGTTTTGGCTGCAGTACAGCACTTTAACCACTGTGCCACGAGGCTCCTGCACCACAAGCTGTAGCCCCCATAAGTAAAATTTCCACACTTTAGATGAAACAGTGCCAGGCTAGATAGCTCAGTGGTTTAAGTATCTGACTCTGGAGCCAGAGACTGAGTGGTTTAAGTATCTGACTGTGGAGCCAGACACTGAAAGTTCGATTCCCCACTGTTCCTCTTTGACAGGGGATGGGGTCGAAGCTGCATAGTGTCCCTTCCAGCCCTGCAGTTCTAAAATTTCAGTAGATGTTTCCATTACAGCTCAAGGTTCATAATATCTTAGTCTCATGATGCTATTTATTTATTTTTAATTTTTTGGCACAAGATTTCCCACTTGAGACAGAAACAAAAACTGAGAAGTACCTTTCCCTGAGTGTAAAACAATGAAACTGAAACAAAAATGGAAAAGATAAAAATAAACACTGCTTTAAAGTCCTTGGCTGCCCTCAAAATGAGCTGTGTGATGAAGTGTCCCCTCTCTGCCTAAGAGTAGAGCTAGCCTTGGGAGCAGAG